GCAAGTATAACCAATTAGTATATATATTATTTACATTTTATTTTTAAAATTGTTCATAACATCCAATTGTTTGGTTAAACTAACGTTAAACCAAGTAATTACTATAGTCGAATTATAATTTAAGGAATAAAACAATCATTACAGTATTAATGAGAATAACGATGCATAAAATTCAATTTAAAAAAAACCTAAAAGAAAAGAATAACATAAAACGAGAATTATAATTATAATTATAATAAAACAACTTTCATAATGTTTACATTTTATGATTTGTACTATCTACAATGGAATCTCGCACCAATTAATCTGCTTGAAAAAAAATATTTTTCACATTCTTGTTACACATTAGAATAATTATATATTGTCCTGACAATAGCGTGAGTGACAGAAATGCATTTACCCTAGTTAAGAACAATTGTTTCTTTTAGTTAAAAAATAAGAAAAATCGATAAAAGATGATACAAAGTCGAAAAGAAATGCATAAGGAATAAAACTGACAGTGTCGTAAGAGTAAAAATTTAATAAAGAAATTCTATTGCTTTGATTATTGATTATTAATGCATTATTTATCATGAAAATTTTTAGACCTCAGTTACAATTGAATAATTTTAAAAAAGGATTGAAAATAATGTGTTTAAAGAATAATATCGGGTCTAATTATTTTTAATAGTACAGTAATACCTCGAACTTACGCGAAAGGTGAGAATCAGTGATAACCGCGTAAATCGGGGTATAATTTTGCATATAAATAAATATAAATTATTTTTAGTTGGGGCCGTAGACGAAAGAAAATGATAATTTAGAAAAAAAAATGTTTAACAAAATCTTAACTAACACAAATGCGAAATCGCAAAACGAAATTATTTTAAAGTCGGTTTTTTTTTCATAAAATCTAACAAAGCAGTCAGCCGACTGAAAGAATTTTTTTCTCTACAGAAAATTTCCTTGTAGCATGCTATTAATTATTTTATTCCTTGTTTTGTTGAAAAAAATACGTTTTTTGTAGAAGGCTATATTTTCTAAAATTTGTACCCTTCTTCGAATAAACTGAGGTCTTCTGTCGAATTCCCAACCGTCATTCGATTTTCTGGGTCTAAAGATTCAAGATCTTCAATGTCTCTTGCTCTTACCTTGCTCATACATTTCTATGAGGTCATCCATTGTCAACTCTTGATCGTGGGAATCCAACAGTTCTTGAACGTCATCACTAACCATTTCTAAATTTATTTGCCTAGTGAGATCGACAGCTTCTTCAATCACATTACGAACAACAGTAAGCGGGGAGTTGTGTAGGGTTTGAATAAAAACCGAATCGACGAGATTTGAAAATTGCCTAACTTGAGGTTCGCGTTAAGTCAAAGTAGTTAAGTCGAGGTATTACTGTATAATTGTTATTCACTTATTCAAAACATGGGTTTTCCAATTCATGAAATTTCCTTGTAAATTGAAACGGAAAAATTACCATTGAAACAGAGTTGAATGCATTGACTTTCTTATTTTGTGAACTTTCAAATCAAAAACTTCAATTGGAGAAATTTCTTTTTTTCGAATATTTTTTTTAATTGAAAGAAAGTTGAGATTAATCTAAAAGTAATATTGTATATGTTTTGAAAATTTTTATTTTACGAAATCTCTTTTCTCAGTTATTAAAAATTATTACTATCATATCACGTTTACTTTTACTGTCGCATGATAATTCTTGATTTGCGTGATAAATATTATTTATTTTTAACAAGTTCACGTTTCTCTTATACTACGCATCATTATATGATCTATTTTCATAGAATAAATTTAATGAAAGAAATTTTGTCATGCTCGGTAAATTTAAGGAAAGCGTGATATGAACTGCATATAATCAAATGAAAACATTTTATACTTACAAGTGTTATTTTCATTTAATAAATTTTCTATCGATTTAGCACTAAAAAAATGTCTTCGGGAAAGTGCGAGATATTTTTGTATCGCTTTTATATTGATTTCCTCTCTCTCTCTTTGGGTACGTATTTTATTGTTGTCAGTGGCGTACACAAAAGTGAGAGGTTGGGATTTAGTCCCCCAAACCCTTATAGACTGATAGATTATTAATTTTTAGTATAGAGCCTTCGTCTACGTTTCATTTTAGAATGTACCTCTATAAGAGAAGTCTGTATACACTACTGATTGTTGTTAGCATTAACTAAGCCCATCATATATATTTCCTTTTTAAAAATAATTTTTATTACATATAGAACTTCCTGAGATTGAAAATCGTTATGGAATATTTTTGGAGTTATTTTTATCATTTTACCGGAAAAAAGATGTTTAGCGATAGTTGCGTTTGTCAATTTTTTACTCAAAACAATGATTCAGATACGTGGTGGTTTGATTCTCATATATATTCATATACAACCATTTTTAATAAATGATACTAAAATTTTCACTTCTCACTTACTATATGATCCCTTCCATTTTAGTTCATTTTGCTTAATTCATTACGACTTTTTTTCAAAACCGATCAAGATACCATTCCCACTGTTAAAAGGTTTTAGAGGGGATTTGTGTAACACATGAAGCATGAAAATTCCAATGCATTTAAAAGCTTATCCATCAACATCACAGGCTCAATCGTCTCTTCCCTTCGTCAACTTTCGTTCTTAAGAGGTTTTGTGAAGGCACTTTTTTTTCTTCTTGCTAGTAATTTCAAAGTTGTTGCGTTTTAGGCTAATTTTCTCACTCGTGAAGCGTTTGGAATTAGTAAAATGCAATTGTGATTTTCAACTGCAACTATTTTAAAAAAACATTCGCTGGAATTTTCAGAGATATTTCTTCTTTTTTAAGGAACTGAGTTTTTAAACAGATTAAAGGTAAAATTTCTGTGGTTGATATGCAAGTTCAAGTTCAAGAACTTTCGAGATTATCGTTTATTTCAATTTATTCATGTTTAACAAAATATAGTGGTCATTGTGGATTTTATTTTGTGTAATAATTTTTAATCTTCTAGGGGTAATATGCTTAAAGTCTAAAGCGCAACGTTTATCCTTCTAAGATGGCTAAATGCTTTTTTTTTTAAAAAAAAATTTAGTATTAACTTTTGTAGTTTTACATCAAGTTAATATTTTGAGGTTCTCTCTCGCAATATCTATTAATTAATTGTATTAAACTTAAAACATTAAAGATTGATTTCTCAGTAGAATTACACCTTCAGAATTTTTATGTTTTTGAGTGTTCACAACTTTTGTAAATTAACATATCAAAATTATAAGGCAATATTTGTATTTTGTGCAACTATGCACCTTTTTTAAAATTGTTTAGTGTGAAAGACAATTATTAAATACCTCAAATTAAAGCTCATGCGTTTTAACCCTTTTTGCTGTGATATTTTTCATAAAAATTGTTAATTAAATATAATATTCCGATAATCTTTAGAAACTTTGGTTTCAAAAATATCTGGATTTCTTAATAAAGTTTTCTCTATGCGACTCTTGTACGATATTCAATACTCATGCTTCAAATCTATAAAATCTTTAAGAATCAATTGTGAGTGTGTGGCCCTTTCTTTAATGAAGACGAGAAACTGTTTAAAACTTGATCATCTCGAGTGAAAAATAAATATGTTTCATGTAAAAACTTAGGAAAACAAAATCTCTCTCTCTAATTTTTGACCAGTATTATCAGAAATAGCGGGTCATTTCTTCTGTTTTCATTTACTTTTTTATTAGAAAAATTGCTTTGTACATTAAGTGTTATTGACCGCTTCTTGTTATTTTCTTCGGTTAATTGATTTATTATTTCAGTTAGAAAAATTTTATTCCGTGCATTTCAAAATATAATTTTTTTTAATTTCGTTTAAAAATATTTATCTGAATATATATATCTGTGTGTTTGTGTGGTAACATTTTATGTATTTGCTGTTAGTCGTTTAATATTCTTTCTAATTTATTTTTTTTTCAACAAAATAGGCAAATACTGTTTTAAAAGTTCAAAAAAGAATACATTATTTCGTAAATATTTTAAAAGTTAGCATTAAAATTATTACTTCTAAAATTTAAAAGCTAAAGAGTATATATTTTAATAGCTATACTTTTTTTAAAAAAATAATAGCAATGATTACCTATGTTTAAATTTTGAAAAATATTCAAGAACTTTTAATAAAGGAATTTTTTTTTCTAATTAAACTTAAGAAATCTTGAACAAGAAAAAAAAATAATAATAAAAGGGGACAAGATTCAAGTGCGATAAAAAAATTAATAATGCTTTGAAACATAAATGTTCTTGATTTATGTGAATACGAAAAATTTGAAGAACATTATTAATGGAAGCTGGCGATTACAAAAAAAAAAACACTTGGATTTACCATCACAAATCGAATTAAAAAAAATTCAAAACATTAAGATTGGTAGCGATGATGACCTTATTGAATTGCATATCAATATAATAACCAAAAGAAAACAAAAATAAAAGAAAACTTTAACTGATTTCAATGCAGCATCTGCTAAAAAGTATAACTACTATTAAAAATTACTATTACTGTTTAAATTATTATATATTCAGACCCCTTAAGGAAATCGAAAGCTCAATTATCTGTACAGAAACATTATTTCTTTTAATGACTTTCAAGTTTTTTAAGTATAGTTTGCTTGTTTGAAAGTATAATCAACAAGTAATATAAAGAAAATTGAGTCAAATTTTTTAAGTATAGTTTGCTTTTTTGAAAGTATAACTAACAAATAATAATAAAAAAAATTAAGTCATTTCCTACTTAGGACAACAAGGAACAATTTTATTTTAGTTGCTTTTTATTAAATAGTTACAATTAATATAAATATGTTTATATATATATAACAGAATCACAATATTAAGTGACAAAATAGAGAAAACGATTTTCCTTGCAATTTTCCCTTTCTATATATGGTGTTGGACTACTTTTTTGTTTTATTGTTTCTGTTTATTCATTCATTAAATTTAATAATTTTCATAAAATAGTATAGTAAAAAAAGATAGCACATTCTCAGAAATTAGGCTATTTCAGGTGGGATTCGAACCTATGGATTAGAAGTCCACCGCGCTATCCATTGCGCTACAGGGTCACAACGAGCTATTTTCCTTTCTATAGATGCTGTTGGACTATTATTTTTGTTTTTTACTGTCTGTTCATGTTTTAATTTAATTGATGAATTAATATTTAAAAAAACTATAATAAACTCAAGTGCCATCCTCTGCAAGTTTAAAAAAATGTATTTGAACTTGAATGGATGAATAGAAAGTATTTTATTAACGAATGAAAATTTGAACTAGATATATAAATAAATAAATATATAGGGAGAGTGTATGCTAATAGTAGGAATTGAAAAATTAAGTCAGCAATAAATCTTACCGTACATTGTGAATATTCAGATGGGCGACTTTCCGAAGAAACTTATTGATTTTGGAAAGCAAATTCCCTCGAAGTAAATTCTGATGAGGATTGAGAAGGATTAAAAGTGTCTGATACAATGATTACTGTTGAAGGTCTAGTGCAGAAGTCCCAGGTAAGTAGAGTATGTAATTGCCCTCAGGGATTCTAATAAAGGAAACGCATTCGCTAATGAGTTTGGGGGCGGAAACCATTAAGAAGTTGAGCATTAAGAAAGCACGCATCACTGAAAATTTTCGGAAACTAGAAATCTAGATGCTTTCTAAAAAAAAAAAGAATTTTGTAATAGATTAATATGATATTGTTTATTATGCTTACGTATCCCGCGATTTTAAGAAACGAGAAAAAGAAAACAACATGGAGCTTAAAAAATGGTTTTGTATACCTATATTTCTTTTGTATATTTGGTTTAGACATCCAAAAGCTCATTTTGGAAGAAGTATCTTGCCTCTTATAGAACTAGTTTATTTTAGTTTTAAAAAGATGTTTGTTTATTTTTTGCGTCTTACATTGGAAGCTAAATAATAGAAAAACATATATTGAAGAATTTTGGATGGCTGTGATATTATGTATAATTATTTTTCTCTTATCTTTTAATTGATTTTCTTAACACATTATTTCATGTTAAAATCTCTTACACAAACATCTTCTATATTTTGCATATGACAAAGCAAACAATAAATACATTTTATTTATGCATATAGTGTGCCATTGTCATGGATAAATTCTAAGCGAGATTTCCCCCTACAAACCAAAAATGTACCAAACTATCTTGCTATAAATATATACATTCATTCAAGCAGTCTATATATATATATATATATATATATATATTACTCTTAATTGCAACCTATATAACTAACTTTACAACTATTCTAAAATTAGCAATAAGAAATTCAAAAGAAAATTTTAAAATCATGATCAAAGGACGAGCTCAGCAATTAAGTTAGCACCCCCACTTTACTACGTCTTTGAATCACAACACATTTAATAGCTACGTGCAAAGTTTTAAAAAAAAAAGCTTTTGCCCTCAAGAGGCTACGTTATTAAAAAGAATACTTTAATCAAATAGAACGTTAAAAAAATATTTTTTCATTGGTATTATATACTTTAAAAATTACTTATAATTGATGAAAGCAGGAGTGAACTGTGGCATGAGAAAAACTGAAAAGCAATTAATTCATGAGGGAGGACCATTTTATTAGTGTGACTAATATCTGTACAAAAAATAAAAAGAAAGAAAGAAAAAAAAAAGACGCAAACAATAACGCGTTCTTTCTTATGGCAACGATTCAAGCTATTAATTGTTATATTTATTAATTTCTTTACACAAGTCGAGGTAGCCTAAGAAGAATTAACCAATGTAAAATCAGCGAAATTGAAACGCCATCTGAAAAAAAATAAAATTGAGTCTGATTATTTTTACCTACAATTCGAAGACAAGAAACCGCAGCTGTATGCAAAATTCAATCATCTTCTTTCTCCTTTGTTTTCTTCTTCACTTTCTTTTTGTACTTTTTTTTATTAATTTTCTTTTTCTGTTCATATTTGTTACGTATTGAGGAAAATGTGGAAAAATATCCTCACGACATTGGATGATTTCCTCGTAAGCTACTTTCCTGTCCGCACTCAATTGGACTAAAGGATTTTTACCTGCTTACATATGTCAAGGTTTCCGAAGCGATTGTAAAAAAGAGGATAATAGCAACAAAATTTTATAATAATCTCCATCAATAAGCTTCAGTAAACTTGTGCCATTTTCTTATCGCAGAGGTTTCAGGTCTGCTAATCTTGCTTTTTGATTTGCCGATGGCCTAACTTGTTTCATTTTACCTCCGACGATTTATAAGTCAGGTTAAAATCCGATAATACAATATGATTTCTAACATAACTGTTAACTAAATGTCATACTGTATTAAACCAGATTAATTTGAATGTAACATACCAACTATTTTGTTAACATACCATTCGTATTTAGTTTAAAGATAAAATTACAAAAGTAGACAAAAAAAAAAAGGTTTAATATTTAGAGTAATATTCTTAAATTTAAGAAAATCGATATCTACGAAAAAAATTTATGAAAACTATTGAAAACTTACGGATTTTACATATTCTATTAAAAATTATGTATGTATCGAATGTTACACAGTAAAACCCAAATATATAACACATTTTCAGATAGAAATATGTGCTCCTATATATATGCAATATATTGTACGTGTGTGTGTATTTGTGTAATAATTATAGGTTCAATTGTATAAGGAATATGTACTCGTTTATCTTAAAATTTGTTAACGTTCAATATGAATTTACAAGCTTCTGTATAGTAAATAAATCTTAAAAAAGAAGTCAGAAAGATTGTAAAAGTTTATTATTTATGTATTACAACATTTTCCTATCTGAAAGAAATTGATTTGAGACTGTTTAATATTACTCGAGTACAGTGGCGCACACAAGGGGGGTGCCTGAGGGTCCAGATCCCCCCAAAGTCCTTGATTTTTTTCCGATTAGTTATAATTCTAAGTATTAAAATTAATTAAAAATTTGTTATTAATGATTAATTTTATTAAGTAATGCTAATTATTTATTCAATAATTAATTTTTTACTGTGTTTTGTTCCTGAAAATCGACAAAATCAAAAATAGCATGATACAAGAATGGTGAACTTTCAA